TTTTCCAGGTACGTAGTTTCAATTCTATACCGCAATCAAGTAACTATGTTGTTTTGAAAATGCTGTGTATWTCAAAAATAAATTTGACCTTGCTTCATAGCTATCTAAACATCTTGAAATTGGCCTCTATCTCTTTAAGAACCTCCTACCATTGCTGACACTTCACTTTTAGCATGTCTTCACAACAATGCTTCATGCTGTTAACAACCTTTCGTAGAAGCATTGCATTTTGTTGTTAAAAAAAAGAACATTATTTTTGGAAAATGGTAACTCAGGATACAGTTGAACCTTACTCAAATGATCTCACTTTGGACACGGAAAGTATGTTTTCTGAAGAACCAGAGGGAGTAAAGAGGCTTTTACAAGATTTTTTTGGCTTGATAAAATATCTCCCAGTCATCCTCTCATACATATAAGTCAATGTTAAGCTACCCATGGCTTTCGTAAAAAAAAAAAGAAAAAGAGAACGACTCTTGAAGCTGAAATGTTCACGACCGACCCATCACTATACCACATCATCTGTAAAACATGGTGGCCTCAGTGTGATGGCTAGGGCATGCATGGCTGCCAGTGGCACTGGGTCACTAGTATTTCTTAATGATGTGCCACAGGACAGAAAGCAGCCATGAATTCTGAGGTATTCAGAGACAAGCCGTGTGCTCAAATGCAGCCAAACTGATAGATCTGTGTGTCATACTACAGATGGACAATGACCCAAAACATAAAGCCAAAGCAACCCAAGAGTTTATTAAAGCAAAGAAGTGGAATATTCTTGAATGACCAAGTCAGTCACCTGATCTCAACCCAATTGAGCATTTCACTTGTTAACGACTAAATTTCAGACAGAAAGGCCCACAAACAAACAGCAACTGAAAACAGCTGCAGTAAAGGCCTGGCAGAGCATTAAAGGGGCAATATCATGTAAAATCAAATTTTTTGAGTTTTATATCATGTTATAATGTTATACTCTAATAAAAAACATGCCCAAAGCCTTGCTTTGACTCATTCATGAATGTTTGAGAAATCCTGCAGCGTTTTTAGGAAGCCATGCTGAGGAGCAAAGCGGCAGGTGGGAACCAGAAACGCCCCTGGGACGTGTCTTTAAGCCGAACTTCCTCATGGCAGAGCACCACCCCTCCCCCCTCCCCACACACCCCGCCCATGACTCCTGCAGGCTCTCGGGTCAAAGTGAAACCTAACTTTCTGCTGAGCTCTCAACATTAGTTCTCACTCAGTGAAGCTCTTTTCAGATTAAAAATACCTTTGAGGAAATGTATTTTAGATGCCAAGTAAACTGCATCGTGAAGCATGCTCAATCCCACCCCACGCACGAGCCCCCCGCGTGCGACCCACCCCCATCCCGAACGGGATGGAACAGAGGCAGAGGGAGGTTCTTAAAGAGACAGAGGCCAATTTCAAGGTGTTTAGAGGAGGAAGTGATGAGA